GTCAGACGCCCAGACTAGTCTGTTTTGAGCGATAGTCATCGCCGCCTCAACGGCTCTTTACGGGATGGTGGGTTTTTCTGCCTGTCGTTTGTTACCTGAAATTTTTAGCTTCCAGCGGCAAAGAAACGCAAAAAAGTCAACCGGGATTAAAATGTGCTGTGCATTGAGCGCAATGGCAACCACCACTTCCATTTCTTCAGGTTCTATCCATTGTTCCCACCACCCCCACTATATGCCTCAGGTGTCAACTTGGACACCTGAAATACTACAGCCTGGCAGTGATGATAGAGTACCATACTTATAAACAGTATGATTCTTAGCTGTCATGATCCCCGAAATTTAGAAATGGACAGGAGCTGTTCCGGAAATACTCATCATCCATACGTACTCTTCTTCTTCTTCTTCTTCTTCTTCTTCTTCTCTCTCTCTCTCTCTCATATGTGCAATATGGGACCAGGATGAGCAATTCGCAATCAACAAAGATGAAGAACGACAAGAACAATGAAACACAGGTCACCATGACGCCTTAGCTATGCCACCTAAAAACAAAGAGGTTCGAATGGGCACACGCCAAACACGCATGCAAAAGCTCTATTGACAAAAACAGTCTCAAAACTCAGCTCAAGTCGAAGCCGGCTCCAGAGTTGACAGCATAAAGAAGTTTCTCTCGCAATACGTCAGCATTGCTGTACCGTGGAAGCTTGAGGAGATTGACACAGGTGCTGGTACTAGGGAGTCGCTCCTGATCCTCACTCGAGTCACGGATGCTGAAGCGGGGGTTGAGATGGCTGAAACCCAACAAAGGCGCCCGAGGAGTGGAGGTGACAAACCGAAGCACGTTCTGTCTTTGTTCATTGGTCATCTTTTCCATCACTTCCCAGAATAGCTTGATCGTAGGATGCTCTTCGTTGTCATCTCCAATTGTGTATACCCCGCCATAGAGCGTGTTACGTCTCAGGTCCGCGACATCAATGTCCCCTCGGTCGCCGCTCACGAGAGTCTGCAGCTCCGTCTGATTAAACATGGACAGCCATGAGGGTTGTATGATCTGGCCGAGTCCCTGTAGGAAAGCGTTGGTCTGCAGTGCAGGTTGAACCTGGAGGCGATAACGAGCGATGTAGGATATGTATACCAGTCGATTTTGGTTCGTGACGGGTATGTCGGACCCCTGGCTTTTCAGATCGCGAGTGATGGTTCGACTGCCAGAACCAGGAAGAGGTATAGTGTCGGTAATAGTGAAGTTCAACGAAAAATCCTCCACGTCGCCCGGGTAATTCTTCAATTGAAGCTGCAATCAAATACGAATCAGTGACTGTGGCACAAGGTCGTTCACTACTTAGAAACTTACCAAGCCCTGATAGAGCCCCTGGTCCAGATCCTTCAGATCGTTAAGATTAGCACGATAAGCAGATTCTCGCTGAGCTGAACCTGCCCCTCCTGTCAATGCCCATTTGAGCAAGAAGAACGGCGCGAAGTTGACATCGACTAAGATTCCTTCATACATGCACTTTCCAATGATCCGGCCAAGGAATTCATATCGTCTAAGTAACTCCCGTACTTTTTCGTTCCAATCTGGGCTGTTTTCAATGAAGCCTACTTGTCTTAGTAGCTCTTTCCGTTGCTCAACCGCTGTCGGGTTGGGATAGAGCAGGTGTTGGTCATTCTCTTCAAACAAACTCATCTCGTTCCTGGATTTGAAAGCTTCGCTGGTCACACTGGTCAGGAATTCCTTGGTGACACCACCACCATCAATCCCAGCTTCCGCAGTGTTCCACTTGTCGATGAATGTGATCTGGATCGGCTCCTTGAGGCCCTCGCCCAGTTCGTAAAACTCCTCAAATGCATCCTCGAACACACTCTCGCGCCTGATATTCGCATGGTGGCGACTTAGGACATCTTGTGCAGCAGGGCGCCCGTCAATCATGCGGCCCATCGTGGCTTCGGCCACGGACATACGCCAAGCATCTGGATCGACAAAGCCGTGTCTCCGGCGGATCTGATCGCGGTATATAAACTCGCGGAATACCTGGACTCTTGTTGCGAATGGAATGAAGAAGGGCATGTTCCTTAGGATTTCGAGTCGCGGTGCTACTGCCTCCAGCTGCTTCCGGCGAGCAGCCTGTTGTTGACGGCGCCTTAAAGCCTCAATCCGACGGGTTTGCTGAGCACGGCCGGTGCCGATGAGCCCTAAGGATGGTTCAAGAAGTGCATCAGGCGTGAGATCGCCCTGTGCATCGTCATCCTCATCCTGAAGTTGGTGTCGGTTCTCCTCCTCCGCAACAACAGCGGGGATGAACCCCTCCATGTCGAAACGGCTTGTCATCAACCAATGCCCGTCGGGGAGAAACTTCCTTCTCGAATCTCGCTCGTGAATCATCCTCAAAAGACCTGTGACAAGACCCTTGAAGTAGTCAAGCGGAATGCCCGTAACGCCAGGAAGACCTTTCTCCTTGTTCTTCGTCTCGATCTCTTTGACGCTAGCCACAGGATCAGACTGTAGCGCGGAGGAGCTGAAGTAGCTTCGAATTCCACCAGTACCCTGAACAGTCTCGTGCTCATTCAAATCGGCTGAATTCCAGTACAGTGTGAAGCCCAGATTCTTCATGAAGAGTGTCATCTCCTTGATGTCTGTCAATGGCAATGCACTCTCCTTAGTCCATGACACCCTGGTATTTGAGGAAGCAGTGAAAGACGACTCATTGGAGAAAAACTCTTCGTCGTCCATCACCTTGAGTACAAATGTATAGAGCTCAAGGAAGAGAAGGATGATAGTCCATTCTTCATCCCTCTCTGTCTGGGACATTCCCCGAAATGTGGAATCCATCGGGTCCTCGACAGGCTTCAAGAGAGGCAACACCTTGGTTGAGTCTTGGCTGATGGCAGTAAAGATTCGGCTAGACCTGGATGCATGCCAGAAGTACTTGATGGCTGGGATTTTGGTGCCCTGTTGGCCTGTCGATTGTTGATCCGATGTAGCTGAGCCTAGATAGAGCCACATGCGGATATCGTCACCCCGCCGAGGGAATACCCGCAACAACGTCAGTGCATAGGTAGCGAGGATCTTGGCTTCTCGAGATGCATCCGACTGAGAATCCGCCAGCTCACCTTGTGAAAGCTGTGTGGACTGGAGTTGGGAAAGAAGGCCTGTAATGCTGTTTTGGTTGACAAGGCTGATGAGTTGATCCTTGATGAAAGGATGCAGGGGAGCTCTTTCGGAGTCGTCATCGATGTCATTAGGGTCATCCTGTTCCATCCGTCGTGATATATGCATTGCAGTGGAATTGAGCATGTCAGATACGACCTTGACGAAGCCAGTATCCGGAGCTTGCTGCCCGGCCTGGCTTCCCAATACAAAACGATGGAAGTAGATAAAGTAAGCGAGCATCCAAAGACAAGAATCTGTATCCTCGCGCTGACGGTCACGAAAATACGACTGCAGCGGATTAAGAGCGGAAGTCAGAAGCTTATAATTGATACTGTTGGCCAGGCTATCCAAACTACCGAGATACTGCGGAAGGTTTGGAATGGTCAAATAGGACTTCGCAAACCACTCATAAGCTGTGAGGGTTTTGGAAGTGATAGGCCGAAGCACCGCCAGGACACACTCGACAAGGCTGTCTCCGGAGAGTTGAGACTTTCTGTCTGTTGTCAGGATCCTCATGACAGAGTAATAGTCATGGGCGAGACGAGCTATTTGCTTCGGTATGAGACCCGTAAGAAAGATAAGTAGCTGGAGAAGGGGACCGACCGCGAACGCCGGCAGCGTCGGGGTGGTCGCGGTACGGAGCACACGAAGGGTCAATCGTGCCAGTCGATTCAACGGCGTCGTCCATTCTCCTTCGGTCGCTATCGTCGGGACTTCGTTCAAGGTCTTCTGGAAGACGCCCGAGAAGTACACCAGCCGGAGGACATCTTCACTGTTCCACGGTTCCAAGAACTGCACCAGCAAGCGCAGCTGCGACAAACAAGCCGCGGCCGTAGCATAGCGGTGAGGCCGTTGGAGAAACGCATCTTGCTGCTTGAGAAGGCTTTCGAAGGAGAAAAGCCCCTCAGTCGCCTGCGTCTCCGTGGCATCCCACTCGGTCCGCCACGCACTGCGCGTTATCTTCCTGCTCCGATAACCCCTCCATGTCCGTTGTATGGTCCGGCTCGCCCCTAATCGCTCTCTCTCCTGTTGTCTGAGTGCCCGTTCCTGTTGGGCGATTGCGAGCGTATTCTGAGGCCCTGCGCCGTGAGGATTCTGTCTGCCGGAGGGATATGCGGCGAAAGGGTTCGTGTTGCGGCCCCCAAGGTTGACCTGCCGTGGACGGCGGGAGTTCCCCGTAAATGACTGAAACATAGCTCGCCCGAGTTCACGTCGAGTCCGGAGGAAGCAATGATCGATATGACAAGATTAAATTTATTGTGAGGGGGAGGATAAGCATGACACAGACGACCCCATGCCGCAGAATGTAAGGAAAAGGCCCGGATATGCAGCGAAGCGTTTGGAAGCGATGGAGGGGAAATGGGTGGATGATGGATTGGGCTATTCTTATGCCATTATTAAGTTACTTCCAACTACTAACTTAACTTACGCCGACTTGGCCGAGCGGGTGCGGAGCGGCCTTTTACGGCCACGCACCATCTGCCGCACCGTTTTCACTAATGCCACTCTCCACAATGCCACGGGCACGGGCTTTTACTTGCTGCAGATTACCAACCATGCATATGATGATGCTTTAATAGTGCTATTCTGTTGACCACGCCTTCGACGAATCTTAATAGGAGGGGACTATGAATTAAGCTAGCAACATTGTGTGGGTAACTTCTAGCTTGCTGAAGCCTACACGGGCCGCGAGATGGATATATATATACTTGGTTACCATCAGGTATTTGGCTGCAAGCTCGGCGAAACAGGCTCAATCATTGTACTCGCTTGCAGACCTATGAGCTACTGGCAAACCGTGCCAACCTAGCAGATTATGGATGCGAGATACAGAAGAAGTGTGTAATCAATAAACCGCAGCCGTGATCTGCTTCTGAGCAGATCATCTATTCCCAGATCGAAGGTCTATTTAATTCGATTCAAGAAAATCCAGGTACTCGGAGAAGAAAGAAAGACTGTATGATCAATTGCTGAACTGCAAGAAAACCCGAGAGACGCCCCAAAACCAATACATGCATTTATGAGATGCTGACCCAGTAGGCGATAGCAACCTGTCAGCCCCTCTGCGCCCTGGCTGATGTGAAGTCCAAATGGACCATCGCGACAGCCCTCCAGCACCACAAACAAACCACTATACATATGATACAATCCACACAAACCAGCGCATGAGGACAAGCTGAAACACCCCCCCAGCGTGAGAGCCAACATGCCTCGTTGAGCCACCGTTGGCTACCGCTGTAGCCAGGGGTGAGCGACTGCCGTAAGCAGTGATAGACTTGGTTCGGAATCAACGTATTTCTTCTGCGGATATTTCATGATGTCGTCGATTTAGTCGCTGCGGCTTCGGCGGCAAGCTTGGCCTGCTCCTGTTCCTTGTGGATAACTGCCCAAGCCGCCTTTCTAGCCTTTTTCCTGGCAGCGGCCTCAGCCTCCTTCGCAGCCTCCGCAGCCTTCGCGGCCTTCGCGGCCTGGGCAGCCCTGCGCTCTTCCTCTATCGCGAGCTGCTTGTCAATCTGCTCCTGTTCAAGGACCTCCCGGCCGTTATCAAGCGCCCACATGTCCAGGTAGTCCTTGCCCTCGAGAGCGCGCTCAACCGTGATGATCCTGCCTTTCTTCTCAAGCTGTCGAGTGTACTTGGATTGCGTCGGGCTCATGACTCTCGTGACGAACGGGGTGAGCTGATCATGGATAGACTAATTAGCTTCATGGAATCATCATCCACGTTAAGCCTGACTCTCGTACCTTGAATTGATCCAGGTTCTCGGGGACAACATATGTGCGGACTTTCTTCCAGTCGATCACGTAGGATCCATTCTTTGCGAAGTAACCCATGGAGCCGGTCCGGTTTCCTTTGTAGTAGCCGCCATTGACCTGCTTCGTGGTCAGGCGCAAGCGCGCCATCATCGGCTTGGAGGGTTTGAACATGGCGGAAGGATTGGAGCGGTCGACAGTCTTTGCGTGGGCCTTCACATTCACTGTTTTGCGGAGAATGGGGGGACGGACGGACGGTCAGCGGACAAAAAGGCTCTTCTGGAAGTCGGGCGGCGCTAGGAGTATCTCCGCCCCGCCAAGAACCTTTTTTTCTCTGTTCCGCATTAGAAAAAAAAATCGACCGCATTGCAGTCGGATACAACAATATCCCTGCGCAAAACCGGTGCATGGTCATATAATCCACGACACATCAGCATATATTTCCATCGAAGTGTCTTTCACCCATACAGATAATTCCACCGGTGATATCGTCACCCAGAGCGAGGGCCAACAACCATGCCTCGCCAACAGACGCAACTGCGCGGTCCGAAAGACCGGAACCGCGACCAGTCTTCTTCGAAAAAACCCTCCCAGAAGAAGACGTCCGGAAAGATGCTGAATGCCTTTTCCATCGCCGAAAGTCAATACCCCACGAAAGTCAAGATGAGACGGAGTCGTTTCGGACAACAAGATGACGATCAGTTCAAACGCAAGCGAAACATCGGTCGCGATCTTGAAGACTCAGACACACCGGATAACAAGCGCCGTCGAACCGGTGATGACGAGTCGGAGATGGGATCGAATTTCGGCAGCGACGGTGAAGGAAATCGGTGGAGACTGGGCGAGGTGGACAGCGATGATGACGAGGATATTGACAGTGACGAAGCATTAGGCTCTAGCGACGAGGAAAGATTCGAGAGCTTCACCTTCCGTGGCAGTTCCAAGCCAAAACACAAGGTTCCTGAGAAGAAAAAGCGTGTTCGTGAGATTACTTTGTCTGAAGATGTGGATGAGTCCGAAGAAGACGACGACGATGAGCTAGACGAAGATGATGACCTCGGAGAGGACGCAGTCGACCTGGCTACTGCCTGGGACATGAACACCGCCATGGAAAAGGAGGAGGAGGAAGCCAAGAATGCAAAGTCCAAATCGAAGCAGGCGTCAGGAAGCGATGATTCCGAAGAATATGACAGCGATACTGAAGAAAGCGACTCCGACGATGACAGCGCTCTATCTGTCTCCGAAGACGAAAACGATGACGATCAGCAGCATGGGCTCGCGAAATTGCAAAGCTTCGTCGACTCTATGAATACGCAAGCTGCCCCCAAATCGAAACGGAAGACAGGTGGTGGGCAAGAACAAGGGGCCCCGACTGAATTCGGCTTGACATCTACGCGCAAGCTGACAGTTGCCGATCTTCTGCCTTCCATCACGGACTCTCGGCTCAAAAGCTCATTGAAGCACGTTGACTCCGATGCATCTGCACCTAAGAAGTCGTCCGGTATTCCCGGGAAACTAGATGCCCCCCTCGCAAAGCGCCAGCAGGATCGCCTGGATCGAGCGGCTGCATATGAAAAGAGCAAGGAAACACTTGACCGGTGGCTCGAGACCGTCAAGGCCAATCGTCGGGCTGAGCATCTCATGTTTCCTTTGCCTGATCCAGATGCGAACCAGGCGCATCGTATGAGCGCACCTCAGCCACGGACGGACCTCGAAAGTACGATTCAGAATATTCTTGTTGAGAGTGGGCTTGCGGAGACGAATGGCAAGTCGGCTGAAGATCAGTTGCAGGAAATGGAAGAATTACAGGAGCGCAGACTACCAATTGAAGAAATTCAGGCCCGCAGAGCCGAACTACGGAAAAGGCGTGATCTATTGTTTCGGGAGGAAGTACGCGCAAAACGGATCAAGAAGATCAAGAGCAAGTCTTATCGCCGGGTTCATCGAAAGGAACGCGAGAAACTGGAACTTCAAGAAAGACAGGCTCTGCTAGAAGCCGGTGTTGATCTAGATGAGCTGGAAAGAGAAAAGAACGAGCGGTTGAGAGCGGAGGCGAGAATGGGCTCCAAGCACAAGGAAAGCAAGTGGGCAAAGAGCCTGAAGCAGACCGGTCGCACTGCATGGGATGAAGATGCTCGACGTGGTACGCAGGAGCAAGCATTGCGCGAGGAGGAACTACGCAAGAGAATCGAAGGCAAGAGAGTCACAACCGGCGACGAAGATTATCTCGGATCTTCTAGTTCCGAGTCGGAAGACGAGGATCCCTGGGACGAGGAAGCTGCCTCCGATGCTGAGAAGCGCAAGATCCGCCAGAAACTCAGCAAGCTTGAAGGGGACGACGGAGACGATGCAGGGGAGTACAAGGGTCCTCATGCGAATTTGATGAACATGAAATTCATGCAGAATGCACAGGCTGCTCGCAAAGCAGAGAATGATGCAGAGATCCGACGTCTTAACCGTGAATTACATGGTGAGGAATCCCAGTCAGAGGCCGAATCTGAGGTTGGACGACGCAAGTTCGGCAAGTCTGAAAAGGATGAGTCTGCCAAAGAGAGCAAGCTCAAAGCAGCGCCTCGCAATGAGTTCGAAGAAACTCCGGGATCAGACGAGGAGCCAGATGTGCACGAAATCGACCGGGACGTGAAAATTGTTCTTGACCGTCCGCAGAAGAAGGGACCGGCTCCCAACAAAAACAAGTCCAACGCTCGGTCTTTGAGCCAGGTTGCGGAACGAGAAGAATCCCCAGTGGAGGAAAACCCATGGTTGGTGCAAACTACCAGGAATAATCGCAGGGTGACAGCAGACGATACTCAGCAGACGGTCGACATCACGCTTGAAGATGCCCAGCCGAGCCCTGCTGGTGCTAAGGGTGTTTCCAAGGTTCAAAAGAAACCAGTCGCAACAACCAAGACCGTTGACGCCGAAGGTTACGACAGCGATGAAGACGGTGTACCGGTGCTTCTCAAGAATCACGATCTCGTGAAAAGAGCGTTCGCGGGTGACGAGGTCGTGCAGGACTTCGAGCAAGAGAAGCTTGATACCATCAAAGAAGAGGGTGACCAGATTATCGACAACACCCTGCCTGGCTGGGGCAGCTGGGCTGGTGATGGTATCAGCAAGAAACAGCAGAAGCGTCAGAAGCGTTTCTTGACCAAGGTGGAGGGAGTCAAGCCTGAAGACCGGAAAGATGCTAAGTTATCCCGAGTCATCATCAATGAGAAACGAATCAAGAAGGTGAGAATAATCGCCGCCAGATCAGTTGCATGCGAATATCCAAACTAATGTCTTATGCCGTCCCAGAACAACAAGTATATGGCCACTCAGCTTCCTCACCAATTCGAGACCAGACAGCAATACGAAAGGTCTCTCCGTCTTCCTATTGGTCCCGAATGGTCTACCAAGGAGACTTTCCAGATTGCAACCAAGCCTCGCGTGATGATCAAGCAGGGTGTCATCAAGCCCATGCAGAAGCCCATGGTCTAGATGCATCGTTTGCTTTGACTGCAGGTCAGTGGTTCATTTCATACAAGATATTGGTGGGCTTTTTCTCATTTGATAGGGTTAGACGGTGTTGTACCGTCTTGCCCGCACTGTACATTGTCCTTATGAAGAATTGTGGAGTCGAATGGAGTCATGATACCAAGTCAGCTTGAAGAATACTGTCAAAGAGAGTTGATTCTGTAGCAATCTCCGCATGATGCGGCAATTAAGCAAGGCGCAATTTTCGATTTTGTCGGTGCATGCGATCGTCGACAAGCGTCTGCCTCTAAGAAGAAGCAGACTGAAAAACCAAGAACAAGTTCGAGATTAAAACATAGTAACGCCATCTATGGTTTGGTAGTTAGTAGTCTCCGGGGTAGGTCATCCCCAATTGGGTTTTAAGGTTGACGGTTTAGCAGTGCTTGGCTGGAGCTGATCTGGTCGGGTGAACCGTCAGCCTCATGCGACAGTCAGCTCCGGGGCTGCAGGCCGGACCACATGGACGTTGAGTTTGAAACAGATTATTGTCACAGTCACATTGACACAACCAGCCAGGCTACTTCGCATTTGAACTCATGTCGTATACAGTGAAGGCTGACGGGTGGAATGTGCCGGACGATGGCTGGGAGGCAGACATTAAGCTTAGGCTTTCCTTAGCATGGGAGGGGGACATTCCTTCCAGCCTTCGTAAAGGAAGGCTGGTGGTCATTTCCTTGGGGTAAGGGCACACTGTAACACTGAATTCAATTTTAGGAAGGAAGACAATCCTAGTAGGTAGAAGTTGGGAGTTAGTACTCGTACTCAGTACGGAGTAGAAGAGGTTAGAAGGAGGGGTCGCGAGGATTCACAAGAATACTACTACTACTACTACTACTACTACTACTACTACGGATTAGGTACCTGTTAAGTTAGTTACTGTGCCTGAATCATCATTGTTGCTCCTGCTGGTGCTGGTGGTGCTGGTGCTGCCGCTGCTGCCTTGTTCCTAGGGCTCCACTCCCGGCTCCATCCCGCAGCCATCGCCGTCATCCCATGGTTTTCTTACCGTCCACCCACCCCTCTATTGCTACTCAAGTAACTACACAACACACATACACACATCAATACAACCTTTCTTGTCTCGACTCTCAGATTGCTCTTCCCAATTGTACCTCTACTATCTATCTGATTATCATATGCCCCCATCAGCTGTCTGCCTGTAAGTTTTACCCACCTAGATCCCATGCACATACCCGCCGGACTCCAGGTGCACCGCATAAGCCGCTGCCGCTGTGCCTGACTTTCAATGCATTCCTCCCCTCCTCGACCCTGCATTCCGCTCCATGAGTTGTTATGCTTTAAAGCCTTCGTGGTCGCTAATACCCTGACAGATCGACGTGCTGTGATACCCCTTCTGTAAATTGACTTGGGAGATCACTATTTTTCTTGGTATCTTTATGCACGAGGAGCGGAGTTTATCTCGTGCCTGCTAAGATTCTTGTTGGCCGAGACGGGAATCTATACATCTGACCAGGTAAGCAATGTTGACATTCTTCTATTTATTTGGACCTGCAATCCTTCTGTACCGTCTGGCCTAGTCTTTTGTTTCCCCCGTCTTCCTCTTCAATCTTTCTTTACACTCTTTTTCATATCTATTTTGGTGTGTGTCGGCGCCTTCTCTGTGTCTAGTGCACTGGCGCTCATTACCAGAGGAAGAAATTGGATGCACTCTTTAGCCAATTCTTCCCTATTTCTATCCTATATACACCTTTAATTGTTACTTAATATCCGTTCGCTCGAGTTGCATTGCATT